TTTAATAAATTTTATACATGGTGTATATATATCTATGTTTACAAATAATATTATTTAGTTAAAAATATTTTTTAAAACGAAACAGGAATTTAAATTAATTCATACATAATAAAACTATTGATATAAATTATTTTTGATATAAACTTTGAAATTACCAAATATAAATTCTACATTTGGTAATTTTCTGATCAACATGGACTGGAAATCGAAATTCCCATCATTCGAAGCAGCTTTGACCTGGAACAAGATCACGAATCTAGATAAACCAAAGCTCAAGCTAAACAAGTATCGTACTGTGAAAATCGATGATAAATTGTACCTCGAGGTTAAAACCCAAAACCCAAACATCATGTTTCTCACAGATTACAAGCATTTTAATTTATTAAAGAATTATACATGGTGGTGTAATCATAAACAAGGAAATACATATTATATAATAATGACAATTAATAAAAAAAATTTACTATTTTTATCGTTTATTAAATCCACAATGGAAAATGATTGATCATATCAATCGAGATAGTTTAGATAATCGAGAGATAAACTTGAGAGAAACTACACATTCACAGAACATGTTAAATAGAAAATTATCTAGAAACAATTCAAGTGGATACAATGGAATTTCTTTTGAAAAAACTCGAAAAAGTTGGATTTTTCAATGGTTTTTTATATTCGGCCATAATTAACTCGATATTTTCCCTATTGTTGATAACTTCACGCATGAACCCCAACGGGTTATTGAGAGAAAATCCAACAGTCTTAATAAGCTTTGGATAATACTTGATCATTTGATAATCCGGATTCGGGGAAAGGCGAATTCGCTCAGTGCCCCCGATTCTTTTCTTTGAAATAAGCCACACGTAATTATCAATATTTTTTGATAACTCTCTAGCCTCTTCAATACGTTTTTTTGACACAGATTTTGCCAATAAATCTTTATCCTCGGCACCAGAAACCCAAATATCGTAAAACGTATCTAGTAACGATTTTCCATTTCTACTTTTGCTATACGCATCATTGATCATCTTCTTCACATGATCATTTTTAATACGTGATGCTAATTGCTTCCTATCATCTCTTCTCAAAGTTTTCTTATATGCATCTACTATAGATGAAATCTGTGCATTTACATTTCTAGCGTAATTACGAGTTTTTCAGCCTTATCAGGTATTCTGGTAGGAAAATATTCTTGAAGAGGATTAGAAGGTGGAGGTCTCTTTCCCACTGGTTGAGTATTTAATACATTTATTCGATATTGGCGCAGCTGATGTAATTTCTCAAGCGAACGTGATGATGTTAGATATTGTTGATCAATCTCAGAATCTATTTTTCTCTTCCAAGTAGTTTCTAATTCATCAGATTTATCCTCACGATTAATTGCAAATTCAAAATTATCATATTTTTCATTAGCATATTTGGTCTTTCTCTTATTCAC